AGAATATCCGAACAGATAAAATTTTTTTAGTGCAACCTAAAATTAACCTACAGAGCTTTAAAAGTACTCCAGATAGCCTAAAACAGCATCTAACAGCACTAGAGAGAAAACGGTCGTTGGGTGCCCCTGTCTCATCAGACGCAGATGTCACAAAAGCCACGAATAGATGATTTTAATTTCGCTTCATACAAAGGAACATTGTTTGATTAATTGAGTCATCTAAATATGTACTCTTCAAAGAAACAACCGAAGATAAAGCCATGTTTCAAGCTACCAAGTCGAGTTTTAATGAAGAACAAAGGCGCTTGTAGTATTTTTGTTTGTAAACTGAGCTGCTGAAGAAAACAAATCTCTCAATACAACAATCGGAGATACGTAATCGTGTTGCTATGCAACAGTCTGCCGGAACCCAGGGCTCGGTGGTTGATAGAAATTATATCTGAAGAAAAACGTAATTTTTTTAAAAATTTCTTTAACAAAGACTAGTGAGCAGCACACAGCAACTATAGATCTTGTTAACTTCTCTTTTTTCCTACCGGTTTCGTCTGAACATACAGACTACGTCAGGGAGTTTGAACAAGATAGTGGTGGAACTTACTTCAATTATAGCTAATGGTTATAGTACAAATCACGTCCCAACAAGGGTGCGAGCTGCAAAAATGCCCACAAAAACATAACGTACAGGATATGATTAAAATCCTGCGTAACGTTGAGAACGTGCAATGTTTAATTTTCGGGCTCACGTATTTAACGTTTCTATTGGAAAACAATAGAAACCTCGTTATCATGCGAACCGAAACAATAACAAACGCGCGAAAAGCAAAATAACAATAATAATAATAATAATAATAATAATAATAATTAATAAAGAGGTTCTTAAAAACGCATTTTACATCACATGGAAGTCTCAATGCTTTCTACAGTCCTTTTACATAAAAACCCTAATCAAAAAGCCCTAATCTGAGAACGCCTCTTAAAAAATGTTTTTAATCTTGATTTAAAACAGTCCACGGTTGAACACTGTTTAATGAAATTTGGCAAGCCGTTCCAAAGCCTTGGTGCGATAATCGAGAAAGATCTGTCGCCATAGGAAGCCATTTTAGTTTTAGGAATAAACAGCAAATTTGAACCACTTGACCGTAGTGAACGCTGAGGCTTGTAATGAAATAACAGCTCGTTGTAAGTGACCAGAAAAATGGTCAATAATGGATCTTTAAGTAATTGCCTACATCACTATTTCTTTTAAAAACTTTGTATGACTTTATAAGAAAGATATCGAGCAGTTGAACAGCCTTGTATCACAAAGGTTCTAATGGAATAATGACTCTGGATGCCATGCTAGTTCAACTCAGGTCGCCGGCCCTCGCCATTTTTTTAATGCCCCTAAAGTTCTTGAGTACTTATTGCTAACATCGGGTTGCATGGGCAGAAGGCGTTTTACCCAAAGAATACAACGCTTCATTGATATCATCATCATGCTTCGAAACTCTATTTCGTCCCATCCCCTTGAGGCTAAAGCGGCTCGCCTCATACTCCCTGCTGAATTTCGAGAGAAAAACAGACGGTCAGCAGTCTATACTTTCCCTACCATGTTGCACACCTGGCTAAAGTTTAACTACATCGTTCGTTTTTTTTGTCTGGAGTTTTTTAGCCCATAAGAAGCAAAGAGATACGAACACATTGAACTGTGGTTTAAAAATGTTGAGCTAGAAATTTAATGATAGCATGCGGAAAAGTACGCGTTCAATTTTCCTTTCAAGTCGTGTAATTCATGTATCAAGTACAGTAATTCATGTATTCTTATTTTCCATTCCCACTCTTCGAGTTTAGCTTTGGAATATAAACATTAAACTATGAAGCATATAGATCATATATGTTATTCCACCTTAACTGTTTACATATGCTTCATCACTGAGAAGAGCCATAGTGTATATCTGTTTACACTCAAACCAGTTGGATAGTGCTATAAGTAGCTTTAAGAGACAACTCATTTATAAGCGCAAAATTCTCAGCCCCCATAATTGTGATGCGTAGAGCATCTTGCCTGATAATTGTGCTACAGTTCTCAATATATATATATGTCCAGTTTACTTTGCAGATAGGACGTCGTACATTAAAATCATTAACTTATTACCTCCTGTATACAAGCTTGATAGTTCAATGTTAAGTCATTTCCTTGTTTTTGATACAATTGGACAGATGATTAAACTAAGGTTTGTTGGTCATTCTACTCATGCACCATGAATGGCCAAGGTATATATTTCAGAATACTCATATCTACATACATACAGAGTTGATTTAAAAGCAAGTTTCAAAGAATAGGCAAGACAGGCGCCTGACGTCAACTCGAAATTGATTTCTGATGTGGACTTGATAGAAAATATAGTACACAGGCTCAAGTAGAACTTGGATGTAAAATTTTTTTTGTAAAGTTTTGAATGGTTATGCTAATATTAATATCTTATTCAATTTTTCTCTGATACTACTAAGTACTCTTTGAGACAAAAAGATAGACTTACTCTAAAGAAGAACTATGCTCGAACACACACCTTTAAGTTACCAAATGAACTGGTTAGCTTATAGAATATATTTAGTTCGATATTTTTTTCAAATATTTATAATGTAGGTGGTCTGTTTGAGTACGGCGTCTATGACTCCTCTACGGGCCATCCTTATGGCATTTCTGTCTCTGTTACTTTGTTGACCATAAATTGTCATTAATAAATAAAGGATAAATTCACAAATCTATTTCTGCTGAATGTAAGGAACATTGGAGGTCTCTTTAGAACGAAAGCCTGCTGACTAAAGAAGCCTTACTGTAATTACACGGAAATTTCTGTACTGAGGTCATCATCTCAGGTTTTGACATTGATTTCTCAAGCTCTTGTCAGAATGTCTGTGTAAAAGTGATAACTCACCGTCTCAGTTTTAACTCTTGATAATTCCGACGCTTTAAATGTAATAATGTCCCGAGATAGCTCTACCCTTGCCTCTGACAATATCTTTGCATTGGATGTTGGTTTGCCTTCTTTTATTAAAGAGAAATTTAGATACACGAAATCACACATCTGAAGAGGAAGACCTTGCTGCGCCTGATTGACACAGCCGTGAAGGGTGTGCATGCCAGATTTATGCCGATGTCACGAACGCAAGAGCGTATGCCTGAGCTGAATATTCAACGCGCAATGAGTTGCTGCACGTTTCCTTTCTGAAAATCATAGCACGTAAAACATCTTATCTCTTCGAAAACAACGAGAATTGCATGGCATTTCCTATGTTACGAATGTTCAAGGTGGTCGGGCACTTCACTTTTGAACTTCAGTTTATCCTGAATGCTCGAGGCGATTAATGTAGACCTAACCAGCACGTATTCCACCTAAAACAATCTAATTGTGGATGCCCTTGTTAATCAATTTGCTAACTTTTGGACACAACAAATTGAGGACTCATAAGAAGTATCTATATAACAAGCTAAACACTTTCAGTCTGAAGATTTTTGTGAAAATCTTGACATGATCACGAAGCCCTAATATGTACGTGCAACCTTACTGCTTACTGTAATTATTTGTTTCTGCTTGTGTGATTATCTTCTACCCAGTACGGTCAAGTATTGTTTTCGATGCTCATTTCATTATTTATATCGTCATGTTCAAAGTATTGCTGCGATGTTCTTAAACATTGCATTATGAGAGCAGTAACCTATCTTCTGTAAAACATAACTCGAACAATAGCGAGTTAGAGGCAATTCTTGGATGCTGACCCATTGAGAAACTATCAGAAGAGGTCTTTTGTTTAACACAGCCTTCGTTCGCCAGTAGAAGTAGTTACTATATAGGGCATATTTGCCTTACATTACAATGATCCCCTGATCGTTCTTTATAATCCTACGCAGACTGTCGCGCCGGGTAGTGTTTCTGTTATGAACATGCGTTGAGGGAAAATACGGATAAACAGGACGGGTGGAGGGACAAATACGATTGCTTGATAGAGGTTCTAAATCTTAAGTCATACACCGTATTTCTAATATCTGAGTTCAAAATGAGAATAGCTTCTATTGTTTGTTCAGTAATATAACATCAATTGTCGAGCAATATTACGTATCAAGTACCTCGTACACTCATGTGCACATGTGGAGGGTCCAGCCTTATATTTTCCCAAACAGTTTCAATTAAATTACCTCGAAAAGAATAAGGCAGAGCCTACCTTGCTTCTTAGATCTCTCCCCACTGATGTCGATCGACTATCCTTTAACCTCTGTCCTTTTTTGTGATACATTCCCTTTCGTCGACCAAATTCTCTTCCGCTGAACTGCAGGAGATTCGCGAAGCCGGGCAACTCAAGTCTGAATACTGATCAAAATAAACGGCGCGCGTTTTTAACATCGCTGTCGCATCCAGGTCAAATCTAAGCATCGTTATATTTCTATCCTTTTTGCAAACAGCATTCTTTGAGTGTTGTATAAATCTGGCACTTAAGACCATGTGATAACTAAGCATACTAAACGATACTAGATATATGACAGTGCATGCTTAGGGATTTTGTTTCAGGATTGGTTCACGAAGATGGGAGACAATGTGCTCCCGTGTGAAAGGGAGAAGGTCAAGGTTCCGTCGGTAAAGCATGCATGAATTATAGCTAGCTAGTCACTAATGGGAGAAATACCACAACCTGGCTCTTCAAGATTTAATTTCCTAAACTAAATGTGGAGAAAATTCGAAATAACTAAGTCACAAATTTCACTCAAACATGTTTGGCTCAACCATCCTCTCGATCACCATTAAAAGTCTAGTGCATCATCTTTTAAGAAGGTGCGCAATCTTGAAAATTCAAGGTGAATTTTGGAACACCTTATGAACACTACATAGTAAATTTTACTTCTTCATTCCAAACGTTTTGACCTCTCCAACGCCAATCCTATCTTACCTATCTCACTCCATGCACATGTAGTCTTCTCCACCCAGACATCATACGATCAAGCTCTCAGTAATCTCAGCTTCAGCACTTTATTTCCTTCATGAATGACACGAATCTTGATAATCCAAGGTTTTATTCAACATGAATTTTTCGTTTGTTAGGTAAAAAGTCTAGGAACAGTGGAGCTGTCCAAGAGTGAAGCCTTGGAGCTGACAGACTCATAGCTGCCGGAGCTTATCCCGGTTTCTGGAGCTGTCCACAGGGATGCCATATACATTCTTTTTTATGAGAATATTGTTTTTCCGACCCAGGCTGAATATTCTTATTTTTCTGCCGATTTTAGGCTGAAATTTTCCTTGTGAATATTCTTGGATTACTATACTGACACAACGTCAGATTATGTGTCCTGACATGACTTCGATTGCGTTGAAGTAATTTTGGAGCCAGACTGCAGGCAATGAAGCCTGATATCGCACCCACAACTTGTCGCACAAAATAATGTTATTAGCCTCGAACATAGAACATACGGCCAGAGCTGTTTTTGGCTAGTTTTGCCGTTTTGAGAAAGGAATATTTTTATACGGTTCACTTAAAAACATACGTAATTGTACTGTATCTACCAATTTTCAACACAAAAATTATTTTTTTTTCAGCGAATTTCTGCCTCGATTTTCTTATAAAATGTATTTTTATAAAAAGAAAAGAGTGTATGCAGTCTGTGCGTGTCTTGATGTAGATTTTGTAGTAACGCCGGACAGCAACAACTGATTAATTCCTTTCACTCTCTTCGAACTTTCCTTTCGATGACCAGTTTTGATAAGCTACTCAGAGCCTTTATTCATTGGTGTATTATATGTATTGCAGCTTTTATCTCTTTGGCTAAACAGTCTCAGTCTGTAGATTCTGTTCGCATATCGTCTAAAGTTTTCAGACAGAAGTCGTAATTTGATGAACACTTACCCCGCACGGTGTATCATCCGGCAATTATTGGTATATAACGTGCATTGATGATGTGTTATATGAACTGCGGCCTTTGTACCCTTGGCTAAACAGTCTCAGTCTGTAGATTCTCTTCGCACATCGTCTAAAGTTTTCAGACAGAAGTCGAGATCCGATGAACACGGTAAATCATCAGTTATTGGTATATAACATGCATTAACGGGTGGGTTTTATGAATTGCTGCCTTTGTTCCCTCGACTAAACAGTCTCAGTCTGTAGATTCTGTTCACTTATCGTCTTAAGTTTTCAGACAGAAGCTAAGTCGTGATCCCATTACCACAGTAAGTCGTTTTGGTATAAATTATAACATGTATTACAGTTTTTTT